AACCACCTCGAATCTAAGAAGAAAAAAGAAGATTTTGTTGTTTTGTTGTTTTGTTAAATAAAATAATTTACATTTTGTGGTTTTATACGTCGATCAATATGTCCGATAGCTAATGGATATTTAACAGGAGTATCATCATCAGCAAAATTATAATGTCGATAATTATTAACTAATGGAGATGTTGCTGTTGTTGAATGTGATGGTAATACAGCAAGTGGAGCACGTTCACGTCCATTTACCGTTCGACGTGTATTCATTCTCATAAAAACTTCATATGGATCATAATCATCATTTATTTGTTGATTTGTATTATTTAAATCAATAGCATCAACTTCAAGACAAAGATCAACATTAAGACCAGCATATGGATCATAATCATCATCGGCTGTTGACATATATTCAAATGCAGCATAGGATGTAGATGTTGGTTCAACTTCACATTCAAAATTAGCTTCATTTTTACGTTCTTAAAAGAAAATTATTAAGAAAAATTATTGTTTCTGTATGCAATTCTAACCTTGAATTTCAGCATCACGTTTTAATTTCCATCCCAGTAGAGTTAAGCCTTCTGTAAGACTAGGCTGATGAAGTACAGTAGTCATCTAAAAACAAAAAACACACTATAACTGTCTCTTTACAATAAGAGATAACAAAAACGATGAAAATTTTTTTTATTTTTTATTTTAACTATTCATCAACATTATCGTTCTTTTTTGAACGAGAATTTCTATTCGTTTTCTTTCCTTCCATTTGACCAAGTTTTTTATAAACAACTCTTTTCAATTGTTTATGTTTTTGTAGATGTTTTATTTCCTGTATTTTTTGTTGTTTCTTATATTGAGCATTGCGATTTTCTTGAGTTTTTTGTTTTGTTTTCAAACGATCTTTATAGACTGTTGTAAACATTTTCATAATATCAGTCATCTAAAAATAAAAGAAATATTTATAAGAAAAAAAAAATAAATGAATTTTATTTACCTTTTTCTCTTCTGGTTCAAGAACAACAGCAACACGTTGTTTTTCTGTAATTGGATCTCTCATTGTTGTTGTTTCACTTGATTTTGGTTTAAGATGAAATGGTAAATCACGTTGTAATTGTGTTGGAATTACTAATGGACGAAATACACGTTCTCTTCTTTCAATTGGTTTATAAAGAGAATCAACATTCGGTTCATTACGAATATTCTTATCACGTTTAAGTTGACCAACAGATCTAAAAATAATTATTCATTTAATAACAAATAGAGAATTCGAGTTTATAAGAGACAAAAATCTTACCGAATTCCTTGCCATTGATCTTTTTGTTCCATAGGCATTAGTAAATTCGTTACAGGAGTATAAAATTTTGGTACTTGTAATGGAAACCAAGCTCGAAGAAAAATAATATCTATAAAAATAGAAAATATCAATAAAATTATTTTAAATCAAATAAAAAATTTTCTTACCACTGAGAAGAATTTTATCTTCAAATGTAGCACGAAATGCACCGGGATGTTCTTTAACAACTTTTTTTATTTGTCCACGTACTCCACTTACAGCTCGAATAGATGCACCTTGAAATTTCGCTACTTCCAATGGAGTATTAAACATACCCTAAATACATAACAGAAATTTTCTATGAACAAAAAAATATATGAAAGAAATAAATCACCTTGATAAATGCGGTTTTTTTGAAAATTTTATATGGTGTACCAATTAATTTGATTTTCTTTACAATCTTTGTTGATTTATCTAAATCAATAACAACACCAGTTGCTGTTACTCGAAAATCCGTCTAAAAAAATATAGAAATATAATCATCAAGAAAACACAATAAAATCATTTACTCGTCCAGCTATTTGTTGAACAGCAACAAAACCAGTATTTTGTGGTGTAAGTGGTCCTATAATAATCAATATATACATCATATTTTGTATCAAAATAATATTCTCACCATAAAAAATAGCATGACAATACATATGTTGTGGTGTATATTTCAAAAGTCGATGTCTCATATTATGATCTTGCATAAAATAATATGGAATTGTTTGAAAACGTCTCCAACCAAGTGAAATAATTAATGGATCTTTGCATTTTAAAATTTTCTTATGCCATCGATGTTTTTTCATACGAACTTGAACATATCCTGTATGAGATTCAGTAACAGGCATTCCACCAAGAATGACTATATAACGTGGATCAAAAGTATTAACAAATTCACATGGAATTTGTGTTAATTCACATCGAACATACATTCCAGGACGATAACCTTCATATTGAACACGCTCATCATCAGGCATATTTTCAAATTCTGATCGATTTAACTACAAAATAGATTTTGTTTTTTTTATTTCGGAGAAAATAAAAATTTATACTTTTGTTTGAATATCAACTTCTTTTCGAAGTTCATCTAAATATTTTGAATCAGGTTCTTTTGATTGATCATATTCAGTATCAAATTGGGATTTTAATTTCGCTTTTTTATTTTGAAGTTTAGCGTCTTCAGGATCTTTTTCTTCATCTTCATCATCATCTAAATTATTTTATAATTAATATTAAATATATATATATATATATATTGAAATATTACCATCATAATCCATTTTATTATTTTCACTTGTACCTTTTTCACCTGTTTCTAAATCTTCAAAATCACCAAATACATCTTCTAAAAAAATACAAATAGAAAATTTTCTTTAAAAAAATAAAACAAAAACAAAACGAACCATCATCATCCATTTCATCATCTTCTGCAAGTAAATTTGCAGCATCTTTTTCTTTCTCCCATTTTCCTGTTACAAAACAATCACGAATTAATTCAGAGATCTAATAAATAAAGTATAATCATTAATTTATAAATAATTCTTTTCTTTCTCATACATTATCAATATTCCAATTATGTTTATCATTTTGTTTCATTAATGTATAATCTTCTTGATCATTTACATTTATTGTCTTTCGTTTTGATATACTAAACAATCCTCCAACTTCTTTATTATTATTTTTTGAATCGGCTTCTTCTGATAATACATCTTCATTTCCTTTTTCTACAAATAAATCAATAAATATTCATTCTTTATAAATAAATATATATCTATTCATACCATAAACAAGTCTTGTCCAATTGATTGCTTTATTAGGAACATAACTAATAGCAAATTTTTTTGATATATTTTCCTTCCAGGAATTACCTAAAATAAATAATTTCGTTTAGAATTAATTCAAATTTGAATAAGAAAAGAGGACATATTTTCCTCAAATGAGTCCTATTGGATAAAGTTTTAACTTAATCATCTGATTATTCTTGTATCAATCCTCAAATATTTCTACTTTAATTTGAACTTGTATAAAAATTGTGTTACAAATTAAACTCAGGAATAGTTGATAAATAATCTATGGATAAACTATAAAGTCAAAATACTTACCAAATTCCTTTTGTTCTTCTTCATCATCATTTTCTTGTTCTTCTTCTTCTTCATCATCGTTATCTTGTTCTTGTTCATCATCATCATCTTCCTCTTGTTCTTCATCATCTTCCTCTCGTTCTTCATCATCGTCCTCTTGTTCATCATCATCATCGTTTTCTGGTTCTTCGTCGTCTTCAGAAGCATTTTCATCATCATCTTCTGTTTCAAATTTCATTCTTCTTCTTTCTGTTTCTTGTCTATAAAAAAGAACGTAAAATAAATATTCGAAAATTCATTCACTTACACATCTTCAGCTATGACTGGTTCACTATCAGCAAATAATTTCAACTGACTTGATGCTACTTTTTCTTCAATAGTCTGTTTTGTTGATAATATATTAGCTACATATTCATTGATTGGTCTTGTCTAAAACATATAAAATCAAAATTGAATAATTGAGAAACAAAAATAAAATATACTTTTTCATTAGTATTTGATGGACGATGTGAATGTGAGCCACCTAATTCAATATAAATCGCATCTTTATCATAAACAATTCCTCCAACACCTGAAAAAGGTGCATATAAAAGTCTTTCTTTTTCATTTAAAACACGTCGAGCTTGTTTTGTTTTTGTTGAACGATCACCCGGTAATCCACATGGATCTGGTAATGCTGATATATTCGTTAATTTATAATCTCCACAACCTAAATTATTAATTCTAACACAATTAATCATCATCATATAAAACTCAAACATACTTGCCTGGAATATGTATAGGTGTATCAGATTTAATTGGACATCCCCGTACATAACCATATAAACATACTGTACGATTACATAATGGATTTGT